TTTTCAATCACTGGATTGTCTGTTCCAGACTCAATTATTTACAGACCGCCGTCATATAGCTGGAATATTGCTCAGTGTGGTGTTTAACAAGAAACAAACATTTGTTGCGCCCACGAGGATTGTTTGGAATAATATATGATGTTAACTGAGAGCTTGGTTGCATCTGATTTATTATCTGCTATGTGATCAAGCTAATAGATCCATCTGTAGAGAGAGCTGTATTTCATTTATGGTGTTGCTAATGTTATGATACCAGACTGCAATGTGATTACCCCTTGTATAGTTATACAAATACTGTAAATCTCATTATGCATATATCATTGATGTAGACTGAGACTTGAAAACATAATTATGCCAATTAGATGGCATTTATAGGCTTTAGAGAATAAGTAATAATATTATGATCGTAATGAAGATGTGTTAGCATATTCTCCAGAATGTAATCATAATATTTGCAAAATGGGTTTTCATCTAAAATACGTACAGAGGCATTTTGCACCATGTGTACTAATTGTCTGGAATATTATTTGTTTCATTTTTGACTGTTTTGCACCATTCTGATACAATAGATGCTCCCTTAAGTATTTGTTTTTACTGTGAGCGAGTGACCTGCGATGGTCAGAGAGTTTGAGAAGTGCGGAAGTTCAACTGTTGAGATTTGTTGCATGGCCGAGATCCACTCTTCAGGTACAAAAAACATGAATATGAGACAATATTAAGATTTATGGGCATTTCATAAGCTGTTGTTAGTCAATTTCTTAGATTTAATGGAAAGTTGAATTATTTAGCCACATGCGATAGTGTATCCTATTTTCGTTGTAGAGGTGCGCACTTTTGCAGGAAAATCCTCATATATAGCAAGTTTTATGTCATAAAACCAGTGTTATTGAGATTATTAATTGTTTTAGAAACAACGTACTGCCCACATGGTCAGTGTTAATGCTATATTTTCATATTTTTGTGTAAACATGATGACATTTTCAAAGTTGCACGAAGCAAGGGAGCAGTCATTGTATTACGGTGTAAGGTATCATGCTATTGCTGTGTTGCAATTTTATTATAAAGGAGTACTTCATCATGTTTAAGTACACATGTATTGTCACGACAGCGAATGATGGATACATTCAATTACATTGTATCAATCTGTAATTTTCAGAACCCTGGAAACCAAATTCTGTGTTAGAAGAAATCTCGGCTTTGTGATCTCTGTATGATTCTTTCTAATAATTCCTACAACATCTCTACAGTAAGTTATGTGTACCTCACGTCTACAGTAAGTTATGCATACGTCACCTCTACAGTAAGTTATGCATGACTCATCTCTACAGTAAATTATACATGACTCACCTCTACAGTAAGTTATGCATGACTCATCTCTACAGTAAATTATACATGACTCACCTCTACAGTAAGTTATGCATGACTCACCTCTACAGTAAGTTATGCATGACTCACCTCTACAGTAAGTTATGCATGACTCACCTCTACAGTAAGTTATGCATGACTCACCTCTACAGTAAGTTATGCATGACTCACCTCTACAGTAAGTTATGCATGACACCTCCATAGTAAGTTATGCATACCTCACCCCTACAATATGTTATGCATGACTTACCTCTATAGTAAGTTATGCATGACTCATCTCTACAGTAAGTTATGCATGACTCATCTCTACAGTAAGTTATGCATGACTCATCTCTACAGTAAATTATACATGACTCACCTTAACAGTAAGTTATGCATGACTCATCTCTACAGAAAGTTATGCATGACTCATCTCTACAGTAAATTATACATGACTCACCTTAACAGTAAGTTATGCATGGCTCATCTCTACAGTAAATTATACATGACTCACCTCTACAGTAAAGACCCGGGTTCGATTCCCGACATGGGTACAATGTGTGAAGCCCATTTCTGGTGTCCCCCGCCATGATATTGCTGGAATATTGCTAAAAGCGGCTTAAAACCATACTCACTCACTCACTCACCTCTACAGTAAGTTATGCATGACTCATCTCTACAGTAAATTATAAATGACTCACCGCTACAGTAAGTTATGCATGACTCACCTCTACAGTAAGTTATGCATGACTCACCTCTACAGTAAGTTATGCATGACTCACCTCTGCAGTTAGTTATGCATGACTCACCTCTACAGTAAGTTATGCATGGCACCTCTATAGTAAGTCATGCATACCTCACCTCGACAGTAAGTTATGCATGACTCACCTCTACAGTAAGTTATGCGTGACTCACCTCTACAGTAAGTATTGCATACCTCACCTCTACAGTAAGTTATGCATACCTCACCTCTACAGTAAGTTTTGCATGACTCACTGTACAGTAAGTTATGCATGACTCACCTCTGCAGTAAGTTATGCATGACTCACCTCTACAGTAAGTTATGCATGACACCTCCATTTTAAGTTATGCATACCTCACCCCTACAATACGTTATGCATGACTTACCTCTATAGTAAGTCATGCATACCTCACCTCTACAGTAAGTTATGCATACCTCACCTCTACAGTAAGTTATTCATGACTCACCTGTAAAATAAGTTATGCATGACTAACCTCTACAGTAAGTAATGCACACCTCACCTCTATAGTAAGTTATGCATGACTCATCTCTATAGTAAGTTATGCATGACTCATCTCTACAGTAAATTATACATGACTCACCTCTACAGTAAGTTATGCATGACTCATCTCTACAGTAAATTATAAATGACTCACCTCTACAGTAAGTTATGCATGACTCACCTCTACAGTAAGTTATGCATGACTCACCTCTGCAGTAAGTTATGCATGACTCACCTCTACAGTAAGTTATGCATGACACCTCCATAGTAAGTTATGCATACCTCACCCCTACAATACGTTATGCATGACTCACCTCTACAGTAAGTATTGCATACCTCACCTCTACAGTAAGTTATGCATGACTCATCTCTACAGTAAATTATAAATGACTCACCTCTACAGTAAGTTATGCATGACTCACCTCTACAGTAAGTTATGCATGACTCACCTCTGCAGTAAGTTATGCATGACTCACCTCTACAGTAAGTTATGCATGACACCTCCATAGTAAGTTATGCATACCTCACCCCTACAATACGTTATGCGTGACTAGCCTCTACAGTAAGTATTGCATACCTCACCTCTACAGTAAGTTATGCATACCTCACCTGTACAATATGTTATGCATGAATCACCTGTACAGTAAGTTATGCATGACTAACCTCTACAGTAAGTAATGCACACCTCACCTCTACAGTAAGTTATGCATGACCCATCTCTACAGTAAATTATAAATGACTCACCTCTACAGTAAGTTATGCATGACTCACCTCTACAGTAAGTTATGCATGACTCACCTCTGCAGTAAGTTATTCATGACTCACCTCTACAGTAAGTTATGCATGACACCTCCATAGTAAGTTATGCATACCTCACCCCTACAATACGTTATGCATGACTCACCCTACAGTAAGTATTGCATACCTCACCTCTACAGTAAGTTATGCATGACTCATCTCTACAGTAAATTATAATTTACTAACCTCTACAGTAAGTTATGCATGACTCACCTCTACAGTAAGTTATGCATGACTCACCTCTGCAGTAAGTTATGCATGACTCACCTCTACAGTAAGGTATGCATGACACCTCCATAGTAAGTTATCCATACCTCACCCCTACAATACGTTATGCATGACTCACCTCTACAGTAAGTATTGCATACCTCACCTCTACAGTAAGATATGCATACCTCACCTCTACAGTAAGTTATGCATGACTCACCTGTACAGTAAGTTATGCATGACTAACCTCTACAGTAAGTAATGGACACCTAACCTCTACAGTAAGTTATGCATGACTCATCTCTACAGTAAGTTATGCATGACTCACCTCTACAGTAAGTAATGCACAACTCACCTCTACAGTAAGTTATGCATACCTCACCTCTACAGTTAGTTATGCATGACTAACCTCTACAGTAAGTAATGGACACCTAACCTCTACAGTAAGTTATGCATGACTCACCTCTACAGTAAGTTATGCATGACTCACCTCTGCAGTAAGTTATGCATGACTCACCTCTACAGTAAGGTATGCATGACACCTCCATAGTAAGTTATCCATACCTCACCCCTACAATACGTTATGCATGACTCACCTCTACAGTAAGTATTGCATACCTCACCTCTACAGTAAGTTATGCATACCTCACCTCTACAGTAAGTTATGCATGACTCACCTGTACAGTAAGTTATGCATGACTAACCTCTACAGTAAGTAATGGACCCCTAACCTCTACAGTAAGTTATGCATGACTCATCTCTACAGTAAGTTATTCATACCTCACCTCTACAGTAAGTTATGCATGACTAACCTTTACAGTAAGTAATGCACACCTCACACCTACAGTAAGTTATGCATGACTCATCTCTATAGTAAGTCGTGCATACCTCACGTCTACAATAAGTTATTCATGCCTCACCTCTACAGTAAGTTATGCATGACTCATCTCTACAGTAAGTCGTGCATGACTCACCTCTACAGTAAGTTATGCATGACTCACCTCTGCAGTTAGCTACGAAACTATCGACGCAATTATTGACTTTAATAGCTAGACATAAGCTATCCTGTGCAATACTCGCCTCTACAGTTTTTCATGGTCTTTTCAGGATAATTACACACTCCGCACAGTCAGATCCTATTTCATGCCATTATTTACCTCGATATTTTGTTGTCTTACTTTCGGGGCAAATTTACAACTTTACAATTCGTTATCTCATGGTCAGTTCAACGTATCCCGGGACATTTAGTTATGTCATATTCGGCGCCATCAATCACCTCTACACTTAAAAAAGTTGGTAATCTGGCAGTCGGTGCAATTTCCCTCCTCTCCGTTAAGTAAAATCGGTTTCGTGCGATTAAACGCATATACTTTACTGTTTCCCCATATGTGTGTTATGGATACTTACCATGGTGTTACTGTACATCCATGAACATGGGATTCCAACTCAACAGCGCGACCCTCAACACGCCTGGTTATGACACTCGGTGAGCAAGAGTCCATTCATAAGCGACGATTTCTTCCACTCAACCACAATGTTTCTCATTCTTTTTTGCCTTTTTACACTTAGAATGATTATCGTAAATCTTTTAGAGCAGCCAATCACTGACTCATTCGAGATTGAGAAAATTAATGTCACATCAGTATATCCATGTCGCCAGTTAGTCCGAAATTAAACGCGCAAATACGTGCATACCACATGACTAGGTGGAAAACTGCAATAACATATTTGTTCATATATCGACGTTATTGTTGAGACCACATGGCGCAGTGTATAATCGAAGCCGGCATAGACGCGAGTGTGTGACATTATTATACATACAATACACGCGGAGGAAGGGTGTGTAACCAGCTGTCGGCAGTATAGCAGTCACCTGCTTCGGGGACTGGAAGTTTTCCTTTTGTATATGTAGAGTGAATTGTTCGACCCGTTGACAAATCAATATACACAGCATTCAGCATCACATCTGTAATGTTTAGTTCAGGGACTACTCTCAAACTACACATACTGACTTGACTCACATACTTTGAAATCATCCTAAGTATGAAAGAACAAATTGTTATATTATTACACAGTTCAATATGTAGCAGTTCTGATTACGAGGGAACCTCGTAGGAACACGTTTCTTTGTCTGGAAATGGACTTGAAACGGACACGACACTACACATGAACTAGTCCCGGTTAATTAGTTTGCACTTTTGTCTCGATGTTGTACCAAGAACAGTGAAAGTGTTGATGTGTTTCTTAGTTGAATGAAACACTTTTAGAAGAAAAGTAAAACTAGTCAGTTGTCACATTCAAGGTCATCGATTTCAGAGCAACCTTCTCAGTGGCGTTATGATACGATCAGCTGAAGGGACATTGCATTGAGGAAACAATACAGTCATACAAACGAGCACAAGTGCAACAAACCGGGAGCGTGCCACGGGGCCGGCATGGGTAAGATTAAGAGGAGCATAGAGTTGCACCATGACCCGACCAGGACTCGACTTGAGGGGTACTTCCCCTCGCCTCGGATCCGGGAACCAGTCTATCATTGCCTGGGTCAGTGTAGCGCCAGCGCAGCATACCCAGGAAACCAGGCTACTCTGACGGAGAACTCTTTTGTGTTAGAGATTGAAAGAGCGGGGTGTTTCCCAATGACGTCACGGGGATTTCCCAGCCGCTGACAATAAAAAACAACATGGAGGAAGCGACACGGAATACATGATCACATCACTCAACTATTTGAGTGAAATTCCGTACAATACTACATATTCTCAACAACAAAAGTTCCTGTGACACCAATATTTTAGTGTATTTTTCAAACAAGTAAAGCAAAAAGATGCTTCACAATTTTCCCTTCAAATGTTCCTCGCGCGAGTGCGCAGAACTTTATACATTGCGTACGTTATTCTTATGACAATGCATAGACGAAACCTTTGATCATACTGCAGGCGTTCAGCATGCGTGTTCAAGTCTGAAGGTACGTGACGTATACATACTGGTTCAGTTAGACAAAACCTAGACGTTGTTTTCAAAACGAAAAAAATACAATTACTTTTGCTAGGAAAAAAAAGATTAAATATGCCCTTTATACAAATATACCATACACATATTTGATCACATGTATTTCCTTGTTAAGTCAATAAATACTACACAGTATATCGTTATATTCAATTGTTAAAACCGCGAAACCTTGATGCAAATATACAATATTTAGGCTATCAATACTACTGAAAAACAAATATTTGATAACAAGTGATGAAAAACTGTCTGTTGAACAATGGAATTGAACACCCCAAATTGTTGACAAATTTTTGGGAAGTTTTCTGGAAGGTATCCGGGCCGGATTCAAAGTGGGAAGATTTCTGGGATTTCCGGAAAACTAAATCTGCACTTTTCGCTGTGAACGCAACTCATCAACTATCGCTGATTTAAGTCTTTCATTCTAGCGGGACTGGTGTTTTAAATCAACGTCATTAATATTGGTTGGTAACTCGGGTATTTAACGTGCGCTTTCCGACTAAAAGCGTATCTCGCACACGGGGTTGCACTTATACTATTGGGGGGAAAAAAGCGTAATAAATAAATAAAGAAGTGCAACCCCCCAAAATATAAAACTTTACTGACCTAACCTAATACAGCTAAGGGGGTTGGGGTTTGGCTGGGTGGGAGTGGGGGATAAAAGAATATGAAGTGATATGGAAAAGTTTGGGCATGGGTTGGAGGGGAGGGGGTCAAGCGTGGGAAGGCACGGCCTCGGCTGGCGAGCATGAGGCTTGAAGTTTACTTGAGTCTTACGGTCAAGTTCTCTTCCGTGGGGAGAGGGGACTTGTAAAGACTCTTGGTGAGCATGGCGGCGGTGTTGGCGACGAAGTGCCTGTTGGTCTTGAAGTCGCAATCTTGGAAAAAGTGCATGAGAGAGGTCGGAGTAGGTATAAATATCATGCTCGAATTCTTCATTATCTAATTCCTGGACCAAGACGAGCGGTGCCCCTTCTTTGGCGTGGACGTCTCGTGGGGAGTGGAGATGCAGCTGCCGCGGAATTCGGGGTGGGCTTCGTAATACTTGATTACTGAGTCCGCCTTCTCTAGAGCAGTTTCTAGGAAGCCCTTTTCCCGTGGGGGGTCCTCGACCGGAGTGGTCTGGGTCTGGCTGGTGTTCAGTTGGGGCGGTTCCGGCGTGGGTCTCCTGAGTCCCCATATGGAGGACTGGAGGGTCTTCTTCATCTGTATGTAAAGTAAAACGGTTTGTACTACTGATGTTGATGACTGCATTATGTGTATTGTTAAAATTACTTATTATTCCTTTAATATGTTTCAGGGTGTAGATAAATATGTGAAACATCCATTGGCGAAACAAAACGTCTCACACCCGTAGCGTAGCGTTCATTCACTCCCCTGCTACAATTAAATTACACTTTTTAAAAATATTAAAGTGTACAGTTTACATTTTCAATAATGTTAATAGATAATTATGACTAATTATTGCCATTAGGCATTATAACAATGTAAACAGCAAATTAAACACGGTTGAGAAATTGAAGACTAAAACACATAAGAACCTTGATGAAAGCAATGTGCCTGTTAGAGACCGCTACACTGACATGTCGGTACCAACAACAATAATAATTACAACAATTAGGGTTATCATGCTTTCTGAAATTCCTTCTCTTTCTCGAACAACAACAACAATGATAATAAGTACAACAATTATACTATAGGGTTATCATGCTTTCTCAAATTCCTTCTCTTTCTCGAACAACAATGATAATAATTACAACAATTACACTATAGGGTTATCATGCTTTCTGAAATTCCTTCTCTTTCTCGAACAACAACAATGAATTAATTACAACAATTACACTATAGGGTTGGTTATCATGCTTTATCAAATCCCTCTCTTTCTCGAACTTTTGCCAGGAGCAATGATATGTGTACAGTCATTGTTCAACTGCAATTTATTTGGGATGACAGCTGAAACAAAGATAATTTGTATGTGATGATTAGCCCTAGTCCCTAAATATTAACATATGGTCACTGTCACAGTTACTTGACAGATTGCAGCCGCCTACTGACTCAATTAGTTTAATCAACCTAACGAAGCTTTGACACCGTTCGGAAAACACCGTTTGATGATTGGTAATTTCAATATCGATATCATTTACCTGCATGATCCATCTGGTATCCAACATTCAAACGGAAGGCCAAATAAAAAAAGAAGAAGATAACTCCCGTTTTGTACCGATTGACCCCGAGAAACAACAGTACCTTGTATATGTCACAAATAGAGTCTATATTATGTATAAAAACATTTGTTTATATTGGTTTTACAACTTTTAGATAATATATCTATTAGATGATGGATACATGTCAGTGCATGTTTGAAACTTTGTAATTTGAATTTTCTTATTACTACTGGCGCTTTACTGTAGCGCTTAGCCACTTTAGGGATGCTTTAATATATGGCTACAGGGCAGCGCCATGTGACGAATCGTCACATACCTTAGACAGTCCGTTCAAGATATTGCATATGCTTTTCATCCGTTACATGTTTAACAAGTGTACACATTCTGATAAACAAATGCCAAAGAATGGTTACGTTTCATAAAGAAAGTATAAAACGTGAGTTATCGCGTAGTTATCCTTTGTTTACGTTGGTTGTCGGGCTCCACGTGCTGTCATCGAAGCCCTACGGAGAGCTATACGATCACTTTGATTGACAGATACTCTGTCATGCACCGCACCGCACATGTTAAGCGCACCGAAAGGCTTGCATTAGACCAGTCTGTTGTGTTTTCGGAATAAGTGCGCTTGTTTACAAACAAGAGAAAAGTCTGGTCACGTGATAGTCGGTGGCAGTGGTGTTATGCTAAGTCAATATCTGCACCTCTAGAAAGCACCCAGAGTGGCATGAATCAGTCAGTACTGAATTGGTATGGACCAATTGTTATGTTGTCATAAATGTATTACATTTGTAAAGTTGGTTTTGTTTAAGTCTGTGATCAGATGTAAAAAATAGGCTCTGCAATCATATTTAAGCGTGTAAACAATGGTAAATATTAAGTCCATATTTATCTAAATGAAATTTTTTTATGACATGTAATTCTGGAATGTAAACCATTAATAATGGTATCCAAGAGGAATACTTACTTTGCAATATAAATGTCATTGTTGCAAATCAGTGTTAGCTGCAGCAGAGAACTTGTTATTGAAAATACCCCCTACACCTAACCTTAAAGGGTCAGACATGTTTTAATTTTCTAGTATGTCACAGTTCACCCATTGACATTTTAGGTGTGCCATTTGGAAAAATAGTGTGTCAACTAGAAGACTAATTAATGTCATTTCACCATGGCTAGATAATAAGCAGTTGCATTTTTTAAAGTTATTCCCTGTCCTTTTCATTGAGATTGATAATACCGTTTTCATTGATACATTAAGCACGTTGTGTGTTCATCAGTTGTTTACCCTATTAAAAACAGCTGATGCAGATATTGTCACAAGGTATTGTTGTTAAAATATATGTTTTACAAGTATAACCTTCAGTCAGTTGGAGGGGCGGTGGGGTAGCCTAGTGGTTAAAGTGTTCACTTGTCACGCCGAAGAGTGGGTTCGATTCCCCACACGGGTCACCCGCCGTGATATTGCAAGAATAGTTCTAAAAGCGGTGTAAAACCATACCTACTCAGGCACCATGCAGGAACTTATTCTTAATGTAATTTTCTTATTTCTACATGAAGAGTAAAGCTAACAAATGCTGTGGTGGTGCCACCTGGGTGTATGCATGCCAGTGTACAAGAGCAAGGGAGGCACCGGTGTTTGCCGTTGAAGAAATGTATAATGGCTCAGTCCAAGAATTCAAAGGCTTGTTATGTTGATTTGTAAAATTTGAAAAGTTATTGGTCCTGTATCATATTTATGTAATACTTTTTTGCATACTTTCATCCACCTGTTATTAAATCTGATCACTATCAATTCATAATGTAGTGAAATCAAAATATATTTGCTACAGCTACAGACTTTCGATTTCTTGTCAACTTTACCATTCATCGTCGATGTTTGCTTTGAAATTTACATGATACAGTTAATATATATTTCTAGCAAATCATTATTTTGGTTTTCCTCTGATTGTTATTGCAGATTATAGATCACCCTCGCAAACACCAAGAATGCCTTCACATAAAAAAATGCAGGGAAATGATGAAGAACACCTTCTCTGCTGATGGATACAATTATACACATTCTTTCAATTGTATTTCAACTAACCAATATTTACTTTTTCTGCTTGCAATTTCAGTTAAACTGTTTAAGGTATTCATCATGTGTTACTGTAATGCAATTTATAATACACTATATTGTCATTGAGACAGTACC